TTCAAATGTTACCCACGAGTACAGGCCTTTGCATTCGACGTGTGCCCGCACTGTTCTTCCAAATGCATCATTGATAGGGATAAAGGCAAACAAACATACTGCATAAATATTGCTGCGGATTATTGAGAATTTATGCTCGGCGCATGTTTATTTATTCTAAAGATAAATCGGTTACAATCGATTTGTTAGCTCGCGTATCGGATGTTTACATGTGTCCGGTGATATTTGTTGTTACATATGTTCTTGGCAATATCGACCAACATTTGAGCCACCGATGACCGATGCAAAAGTTTGAAATGGTCCAAATGGTAACTGCAGGGAAAATATTTACTTTCATATTTCCGAGCTTTATCACGAAAGAGAGTACTTTTAATTTCCAAATGTCGGTTTCGCGGACGTTTTCACTTGGGAAGATCCATATTTATATTCCGTGATACACAGTTCGATGAATGAGCAATGCGAAGCAATCATTTAAAAAGGAGCCCGATTTTTTAAAGCGGATATGGCGCGACTGAAACATGCCGGTGTATCAATTACAAACTATATGGTATATGAGGTTATATAGGGTATCTCTTCTAATCAATCGCACTTTCTGTTCATGAGGAACAGCGTACGCGAGTGAACGGAAGAAGAAAATCGTGATTGAAAAATCATGCCGAGAATCAAGAGGCACTGTAGTGCCTCGCGCCAAGTTCAAACGCAACGAAGTTGCGCCTGAATGACGCGAGGCATACCGTGCCTATATATATTATTACACGAAACTGCGAGTTGAAACGAGATGAGATATTCATATCTCAACAATGGCTAAACCAATCGAGGTTTTTTCAGTGCTGATCGATTCGGCCTTAAAAAATAGGGAGAAAAGTGTCCTTGTGTTTCTTGTGTACGTTGTCTCTAAATGTAGATATTTTAAAATAAAGTCCAAATCACGGAAAATTTCGATTCAGTAAGAAAGTAAGAAACCGCAGAGGAGAGAGGATTTGTGCATCTCACTTTTCCGACACCAGAGACGTTACAAGCGCGCTGAAGAAGCAGCGAGTGCGAGTGAGCAAGCAATAGAGAGTAAAAGAGAGAAGAATATTGCTAGAATACAGGAGTAGAAATGTACGAGAAAGAGAAAGAGAGAGAGAGAGCGAGAGAGAGAGAAGCCAAGGCTTTTTGCATTAAATATCTTTTATTGCATTGTTATAATAACTAATTTATTATAATAACAAGTAAAATAACCATAAAACTCAATGTTCTAGTGAATAATGAAGACACTGTTTTTGAAGTATCGGACTGTGTATCATTGGGAGTTTTCGATACATTTATCTTCAGATTGCAAATCGCTCTCATTTGCAGAGTTGATGTTGAGTAGAGTTTTTCAATTGATGCTATTGTTTTATTATATCATTTTTTTGTAGAACGGTTTTGTAGAGTTTTATTTATAGTATTCAATAGAAGAATTTATTGTTAGAGATATAAGTTTTACTTGTACAAACTTACTTGTACAAAATTACTTGTATAACGAAAATAATAAATTATATTGCCCAAAGATACACGCTCAGGTGCGGTACGATGCACAGTACTAAAAGCGTAAACATTGCCGTTTGTATCATTTCTTTTGTAAAGTAGTGTTGTAGAGTTTTATTATAGTTATAAATTTTACTTGTAAAATTTTATGTTACATATATAACTTGACAAAACAATAATTTGAAATTTCTAAAAATGTTGCGCGTGTACTTGGCGCCTCTTTTTACCTTTTTGTTTAAAAAGGTAAGTTTTATACAACGTTACGGGCTCTCTGAGACCCGCGTCCCGGCGGGATAAGGTCGCACGACTTTGAAAACAACATAAGTACGCAACGTTCATAAGTACGCAATTGCCTCGACCGTTTCCATTATTGTTTACGCCGCGGTGACGGACGGATCGGCGGATCACCGTGCGTAATAATTTCCGAATTTTCACGTTCGATCACAGTGTACGCGCGCGTGTAACGTGTAATATTCGTGCGTGTGTGTATGCGTATGTGTGTGCGTGACGATCCGGAGCATCTTGAGCAATAGCAGTGTTTCATGGTCTTTAAAGGTAAACTTTTATTGGTTAACTTGGTTAAGTTGAAGAAGCTAATTTGTAGTCTCGAGTCTTCGTACTCTTGATGCGAGGCGCATTTGTCGCTGTAATACTAATGAGGAAACTCGTTTTTTGTTACAGATCTGCTGGAGTTTGCAGCCACGCGATAGCTGCGGTTATCGGAACGCAGTTTCGACGGACGCCGATGCCGCACCGGAGGATCCGGTTCGGGCCGAGCAGAGTCGGCTTGAAGGTGAGATTTACCGATCGTTTGTACATTTCTTCTTGATTTATTGCGATCGAAAACCGAGCGATTGGAATAATAAAAGCGGTTGAATTACAATGGCAAAGGGTCAATGTTTGTATCTGCGCGCGCGCGCTTCCGCGAATTGAACTCAACCTAATCTAACTTTTAACCTAACGGTTTAACTAACGAAACTATATTTTTTGTTACAGATCCGCAGCAGAACGCGGCTGACTCTGGCTACTGTGTATCGGTGAGTCAGAAAAGAAAAGACATTTTTATGGTGATGGGTGTTTGCGATATCTCGCGAAAATCAATGCGATTTAATTATACTTTTTTCACACGTTGCTCGAAATAATCAGGAGATCGTGTCTTTCAATGACCGTATTACACAACAGAATCTTTAAGATATAATATATATTTCTCTCTTTTATATTTACTCTGAATCATTAGAAGATACAGATATAAGTGCTTTAGTTTGTTATTATATTGAAATCAAGATATGAAATGATTTGCTGCGATTCAATCAATATAACTCCTGCTTCGAGCAGCGTGTAATGTTAAAACTTGATCAGAATTGCGTCATCACATGTGAAATTCACCACTATTTATCTTATTTGACTTGATAAATTTTATGTCTGTCGAATTCATCAATTTTTCACGCGTGTCAGTGGCGATAATATTTCATTTGAAATGACCGGTAAATTCGGTACGCGCGTTTATTTACATTACAATTTAGTCCTTACGAAACAAGACGTGCGTTTCTTTCGAATCACCGTTTGCGAAACAAAACATTTTCGTTTTTTCTCTCATGTCTAAACATCGTAATTTTCATTCGCGATTGATTCTACGTGCATCGTGTCTCACGTATACATTCTCGGAACATTCTCTTGCAATTTATCGTGTTTACTTCTTTTTGGGATAAAAATATCATTTCTCGAATACGATCATATACGCGCTTCTTTGTCTCGCCATTTTTTTCCTTAAATTCGAAACATCGAAATTAATGAAAGAGAAAAGATAAACAAAGAGAAAGAAAAAGCGACAAAATATTGTGAAAAAAGAAACTTATCCTGAATGCTGAGGAGACTGGACATTGGACGGATGCAGAGACACGGGAATCAACGAAAGTCGGTGAGTGCTGCAGATCAAACGCTCAGAAAGCGTTATGTTTTATAATGCATGCTTATATATAAATCGCATTGGTTTTTGGCCAGAGATAATAAAAAATAGTGTGCGATATTTGAATCAGACGGGAAATTTTGAAGCTTGCTACTCAATCATTTCGACAAGTCGACGTCATAAAACTGTTTAGACGTCGGTACTGATAATTACGTTATATCTTGTCTATAATAAAAATTGAACAATGCGCACACGTAAACATGAGAAAGCTTTAATATCGGGGAACTGTTACACACTTGCAAAATAAAGGACGCTGCACTAATTAGTTTCAAGTTGGCTACGTTATCAGTCACTGTCACTGCCTCGTAAATGTTATATTGCGTTATATCTCGTAAACGTGAGTTACAAACAACGATTTAACATTGTAACAAATAACTCTATGTTGTCGTAAATGATCATTATTACCGCGTTTTTCGTTAATCTTTACTCAATTATTCGAAGATAACCGCAACCATGCGAAGAATACTAAAAGTATTATGTGTAAAATACCAAGAAATTCTATCTCCAGTCAAATTAAGTTGTTCTGTGTATATCCAAAATGCAAATATTCAACTAATATATTCAACTAATATCATTCGAGTAGGCTTAAAAACATTCTATTTTTTTTTCTAAATACATATATATATGTTTAAATTAGTTGTTATCTTAAATATAACAAGGGGAAGCATAAAACGTTTTTAAAATATTTTGTAAAAAATCTGGAGATTTTTCACATTATTTCAAAGATATATATGAATAGTTTACATATCGTCAGATAAACGATTTTAATCTCATGGACTTTTAAATATATTGAACGATCGCGCCGCTTAGAAATTGATGCAGGATTTGGAGATATCGTAATCGGTTCAACGGTTTAGTTGATTCAGCAGTACGAAGATCAGGCTATGCGCATACGCATGAATGCTTCCGGGTTTTTGCTTGAAACATAGGGATATGAAAGAAGTTTTCGAAATTGAAAGCCAAACGCGTCCGCGTGATATATTTTTCGCGAATTGAAATCTATAAATCTCTTTGATTGTGTATAATAGAATTTGTGGCTCTTAATCCACATACATGTATAACGTGATTATTTTTATTACTAGTAAATTTTAAATCTACTGTAATAATTACATAGAAATTATATAAAACGAAAGAGAAAGAAAGAGACGACAACAACTTATCGATAAATATCGTCATTCGCGATGATACGGGATATTGAAGTATACAGATAAGCTGTCGGTTTTGTTACTTACTACAACTACTTACTTGCTTCAAACAACCACTTTGAAGACCAGTTAATTCTTGTCAGAAAAAACGAATTCACTTTATTGTGAAATATTGAGATATTTCTGAGATATAAATTATAAAATTTTAATTCAGTTGTAGCGACATGAATTATAATTGGTAAAATAAATATAACCGGTAGTCGCTTGTACAAGTGAGACTTAATTCTTTCTAAATAAGATTCTTAATTATTTCTCTCTCTTTCTCTCTCTCCCCCTCTTTCTGTCTCTCTTTCTCTCTTCACTAATTGTTTTCCTACCTTTCTTGGATGTGTGAAACGAATCGTCTTTAGGCACATATTGGATGTCATAAACCAATGTCGTGTTCGCTAAAAGAGTCTTATCCTTGTTGATCTTGTAAATGGCGTATTTAAACGCTAACTCTGACGGGCTATCCTTTTGATCCTCGGTAAAGATCGCTCCTGAAACAATTTAAATAAATATTCTTTTTAAACGTTAAAATCTTGTTATCCCATATTCGGTGCTCGTGTTACAATGTTACGGTATCATGAATTATTAATGCTAGGCACCGTCCATATGCTGATAAACGCTTTGAAAGATTTTATTTTTAAAATCGTTACATTAATAATCTGCATTATCGGATATTGTATCCGTTTTAAAACGAGAACGTGAACAGGAAAATATTATAATTGTAACTATCGCTATCGAATTCATAACCCTTAAGGAAAAAATGAGAATTGTAGGGGAAATTGAAAAAATTGAAATGGAAGTATAAAATAAGACAACAAAGAATTTCGAGGAATTAGCCGTGAAACTTATTAAATTTGTATGACCAAACTTCAGTAGCAAACATGTAATAAAAAAAAGCTGCTGATCTAGAATTAATTAAAATCATGCTAGTCGTTATTTTGCAACGAAATGCATTTTATTTTTAGACTTTCAAGTCAACACAAACCTTCACTCGTTCATTAATTATTCACCATGTTGCCGACAATGGTGTAAGTATGGAATTTTATCTGGGGAAATAACGTTATATACTTGAATAGCGAACCGAGTTCTCGGGGGAAGCACGTCCATACCAGAACCGGGATGAAGTTGATAACGCGGCCGAATCCGAAAAGAAAATTCCGACGCTGCTAAAAGAAACTAAATTCATTGAAAGTTATAACTGAGTTCGTGAACTTGCAATAACGACCTCGTCCGTATCTGTCGTACATATCTACATATATATACAATGGTAAGGTACCGCGATTCTCCCTTAAATTTAATTAATGACTTCACCACAGCGTAGCTCACTTCGAACGCGAGTTTTAATTAAAGTCGAATAATTACCGCGGCCAAAACCATGCTCGTGATATCAAGAAGTACTTCGTGAGAAACGTAAATTAAACGTCGACATGGCGTAAAAAATAAGCAACATTTATTGGAAGGCTACGTTCAAATAATAATGCAAATAGATTAAGTCAACTAAGAGTAACTAGCACAATTATGCCTTGTTAAATTTCATCATAAGGGTTAAATCTATATAGTTAATATTTTATTTCTCGTCGATCTTAATGTATTTTCTCAAACAGAGATCTATTATAACCATTATTATTCGATCATGCGTCCAATTCTCGAGAGAGAAAATAAGTTCACGTCAGTGAGAAAAGGAAAAATATTTGCAATCGCAATTATTACCCGGCTAACGATTCATTATCGGGTAAATCATGCTTGTTTTTTATTTCTTCAAAAATCGTTTCACAGCAAGAATCGTAGCAATTAGTATCAAATGTGCAACAAATGTAACATTTAAATGCTTTTTTGCTCGTGTTGATATATCGGCTCGAACTCGAGAGTTTGCTTACTGAAAATCAACGTTTTCAAAATGTAAAAAACAAAATGCAACCGTACGCAACCGTTGATTGTGTACTAATTCGTTTCTCTCTCTTTCTCTCTCTCTCTCTCTCTCTCTCTCTCTCTCTCTCTGTCACTCTATCTCTTTCTTTATAGCCGATTGCTAGAGAATTTTAAAAACAGAACCCTCACATTTGAAAGCAGCTTAAAAGAAAGCATTTTGTCGGTTTGCGCTATGCGGGAATATGATTTGCCGATTCACCGTTTTCTTCATTCAGGAGCGTTTTTATATCTACAATAATTAACTTTACTCAACGAAGATTTCCTTCTTTCACGGGTCTGTTTCACGGGTCTGGCAAATGAAACATTCCTCAAATGATACATTTTTCTACATCATCCCCTAAGCTTTATTACGACTAATCCATCTCGAAGTAATCCGACCGTTAATCTCTTGAAGCGGTCTTCGTTCGGTGACTTCAATTTTCCGGTTCTATCTCGCAGCAGGTGGCTGCAGCGGGCTTTGAGATTTTATGCGAACGGTTATTTCTTTCATAGAAAGGAGCATGTTTTTCTTCTTCTTTTACTATAGAAGTCGGTTAATTATACTGAGTTGAGAGAACAGTTTCTTTTACGAACGCGGCATTTTATTCTTTGAAAGAAAATTTACAAAAATGTTAAACGCTACCGCATCATCTCTCTTATTTGTGTGATAACATAGTATATAGTTTCTTACATAATATTTGTTTGAAATATTACACGACAGTATAAGAATACTGAGTTCCTCATCATAATCCGTTCATAGACGCGCAAATTTATCTTCGTCACACTCGGAATTCTCGAGGCAAAGAGATTCATTCGGCACCGAATCAATCTCCGTCACTCACCCACGAGAAATTAGGCGAAGCCAATTAATAATTTTTAACCGATGCCGTCGCAAAAGTCGTCTCAATAATATGCAGATCGCAAATTTATGCTTCACGAACATTTACTCTTTATTGTCAAATCGTTAAAATGTCGCATCGATTGTAATATTCACCAATTTACGGATCCACAAGATTTTCCAATGTACGGTTTACTTTTTACGGGTACGTGAGTATAATTTACATGTAATATTCACATTGCTTAATACATTTTCCTTTATTTGTGATACCGAGGTTTAAATTGAGCAATTACTGATATTATCATTTCACCAACATTTGACAGAAGTTTACAATGTACTTAGCACATGGCAATACAATGGACATAAATGCAGCTGTATCCGGGCTCATTCGCGTTACAGCATTTCTGCATGCTCCACGACGAAACTATATTGTCCTCTCGGGTATCGCGAAATGGACTTCCGTATTTTGGTGCTCGCGCCGTTACCGTTAGAACGATCACCGCGGATGGCTCCCTTGAAACCATCTTTCGCATCTTCCTGTATCGGCCAGATATTTTTCTCATGTGTGTCGTGTACCAGTCGCTGCTAAAGCTTGCATTAAGATCGGTTTGGAAGAAGTAGCAACGGTTGCGGAGTACCGAGTATATCGGGATCCTTACGAGTCGATAAAAATGTCAGCGATAGAGATTTCTCTGGAATTCAATGCGTGCATATCGGAGATATGCATCATTCGTATTCGATTCTTCTCGAGTCTAGATATTTTTCAGTGAGCGCGGGCGAAATGCTGCAAAGAATGTTTCTTCATCTCTTTAAGAAACCTACGATAATATTTGTCATATTTATCCTCCGTCGGTTTTACTCAAAGACTTGTCAACTCATTGTCTCATTGTCAAAATCAGATGCCGATTATTATTTAGATAACATCTTATTGTTTTGAAAAATCACTTCAGAATAATGATAAATTAACTTGCGCAAATTCGACACGATCGTTGCGATTTAGAATCTATCCGGTAACACGTGAAACAAGTACAACTTCTAATTACAAGTGCAGTCAAGTGATACTGTAAATAAAAGTACCTTATATATTGTTTGTGCGCTAGTCGTATCTTTAAACTTTTGCACTAGAAATTCATTCGCAATATTGTATACTTGAAGACTTTCACACCAGCTTCAGCGTGAAATTTTTCCTCGGAGACATATAAGCGTTAACTTTTATTGAAATGGAACACCGCGACTTAAGGGAAGTCGAGGAAGACTTGAATACCACACGTTTTCATTTCGATGCTCATTGAGAGAACGACGAGTCCTCGGGGAAAGCAGACGCTGCAAATTAATAGGCTTTGTATCTTCCACTCGCAAAAGAGCAAAAATGCAACGATGGTTACGGGGATAGGCTTCTAAGCGAACAAGGCTAAGATAATACACGAGGAAAATTTCATGGGATGTTTTTCTTTATTATTTCCTCGTGCACGCCTTCGCGATAACCATACGATCGTAGCAATTCTACGGTGAGTAATAAAGGCGCCTACGTATTGATTCACCAACTGGCCAACGTGTTTACAAGGCTTCGTGAACGCAGATACAGTTCACCGTTACATTAAATGGAGCTCGTAATGGTACATGTGCTGAAGTATCGAAAGAGAAACTTTCTGTTTTTTTCTATCGTAAAATATAAACCGGGTATATTTTACATGAAATCTGATTTTTTAACAACCACCGAATCCATAAATAGATAAAAGTAGTTTGTTACCGAATAATCGAACAATGTGGGGAAAATTGTACAATGTGGGAGACACGTTTGTAAGTTCAACCAACAATGGGGGGAGGGGAATAAGATTCTCGTACTGTTTATAAAATACAACACAAACATCGACGCGCATTACAAAGTGCTGAAGTGCGTCGCGTATCAGCCAACATTGTTCTTGTGTCTTTGAGGTAACGAATTGCCCTATCGCATTTCCTCTTACCGTTCGTGCAACGCTGGCGGTGGTTTGAATAAATTCTGTATATCTACTAATAAATTTGCCTGCAATATTTCATGAGAACGCGGTATATTGAATAAATTACCGGAAAAACTGACAGAAAGCATCGAGATTGGTTGGTTTCTCGATATCATGCAAAATCCATTCGGATAGATATTACCGGTATGTTGATTATTCTTGTCAGTTAATATTGAACGAAGATTGTTTATGCACGGTCGCACATTGCGATCGATGTTTCGTTTAATGCATCGCCAAACAATAATTTATTACCTCAAAAACGCGCACGCCTCATTCGATTAAGATTTTAATACTCTTTATTAAATTCTGCGGCATTTTAGAATATTCATTATTTGCTACCGGCGCGACCCAAACATTGCTCATTCACAGCGAACATCAATTCAACATAATTAAGATAATAATTAAGCAAAAATTTACTAAGGCGACGGGAATTTTGTTTGTCGCATTTGTTTCGCTTTGAAAATACTCATGACGCCCAAAGAGCAATATATTTGTTAAATATGTATTTATTTCATAAACGACCAAGATATACATTTTTCCATAGCAAATAACAATGTTTTGTTCGTTTCTGTTTCATTTTCGCAGGCTTCGTCTATTTGTGTAACCCAAACAGAGTAATTAATGAAATGGCTTTCTCGAATTTTTATCCTCCTCGGAGCCTTAGTAAACAGCCTTTCTTTGTTGCTTGATACGACCTAGGTTGTATTCGGGTTTTGGCTCGGTAGCAAGATGTTCATTTGCCTGG